TGGCTCACCTTGCCAACTGGACTGCAACTCTGGCTGCATTGCTGTCTTCTCTCTACACGGATTCACAAGCACTGCCGGACGGCGTGGTTGGACGGTCAAAAGGTGAGAGGAACATGATCAAAAAACTGGTAACAAATCACTGGTCTGCAGAAGATACTGTGGCCAGACTGCACAGATGGGTACACCATGAGAACACCTGTATAGCAAGGGAAAGCTTAGCAAAGAGCAGCCTCAGAAAAAGAGAGTCTTAAAACTCAGGTATAGGCCAGGCTTGGTGGCTTAGCCTGTCATCCCAGCACTTTGGGAGGCCGAGGTGAGTGGATTACCTGAGCCCGCAGGTTCGAGACCCACCCGGGCAACCTGGCAAGACCTCGACTCTACAATAAATCAAAAATGAGCTAGGCATGGTAGCACACCTGTAATTCCGGCTACTTGGGAGGCTGAGGTGGAAGGATCACTGGAGCCCAGTGGGTAGAGGCTGCGGTGGCCGGAGCAGCCACTGCACTCAAGTCTGGGCGACTGAGTGAGACTCCAACGCAAACAAAACAAAACAAAACAAAACAAAACTCAGGTATAAACAACATGACCCGTTCTATACATATCAGTCAGCCTCCTTCCCCAGACTTCTTGTTCAAATGGGATAGTGGACAAGCGGCCATGGTGGCGGGGATAGAGACTATGCATGAACTGGGCAACATGGACGCCCACTCATGAAAATCAACCTACCTCCAGGCACTTCTGAGGACCCCAGCTGCAAACAGCAGACACCAACATTGACCCCCACCCCACGACACCACTCCTCACACTATCAGCCGGAGGAGATCAGTGAATTTGGTGTCCTGGTCCACAGCATTACAGCCAAAAGCACTATTCGTGGCCTTGTGGAATGCTCTGTTCACCATCACAGCAACCCGCATGGCACTGCTGTGCTCGAAGAAGTCATTTCAGGGCAGATGGAGTCCAACAATGGGTTTATGCTCAGGAAATTCACTGGTCTCGCCAGATCCTTCATCACCGCGGTTGGGTCCCCAGCTGACCCAACAGATCTGTAAATGGCGTTTTTGAATTCTCAGGGCTGGGGCAGTATCTTCCAGAAAACCTTCCAGCAGCATGTGTCCTGACTCTGTGGGACCGCTTCTCCCATAGCCAGGACTCACATGTCTAAGAATCCAGGGTGAAACGTAGTGGACCCTCTTACTATTAGCCCTGGTGATCTACTAACAAAAATTTTACTTCCCTCCCCTAAAACTCCGGGTTCCACTGGTCTAGGACAGGACATGGCAATGGTTCCATTAAACCGGACATGGAAACTGCCCCTAGCCACACTGGGTTCCCCATGCCAATAAACCCACTGGCAAAGGAAGTAGTTACCGCGTTGGCTGAGGTGACAGATCTTGACTGTGAAGTTTTGTTCAACAGGGGGCCTGTGATCCCAGCACTTTGGAAGGCCGAGGTGGGCGAACTGTTCAAACCCAGGAGTTTCAGACTAGCCTGGGCAACGTTGCAAACCACCACCACCATGTATCTTGTGTCACTTTGGCATCCACACATGTCTCTCTCACCCACACTGAATTTCCAAATCAAGACAAGAGCAAAATCATGCTGGTACCAAACATGATTCGGTGACCCTCGTGTGACAGAAAGCTCTCCACCTCCCCGAAGAGGCTACGTGAACCCCTTTATCCATCCAGTGGGTGCCATCTTGACAAAACATTTTTTAAAAATAGCCAGGTACGGTGGCGTGCTCCTAGAGTCCCAGCTACTCAGGGTGCTGAGGTGGAAGGATCACCTGAGCCCAGGAAGTCGAGGCCGCGGTGAGCCATGGTCATCATGACCATGCCACTGCACTCCCGCCTGGGCGACAGAAGGAGACTCCAACTTACAAACAGACAGCGGGAATAAGGAAGAACATGTCAGGGACCAAGGAGACTCCCTGGGGTGCCTCTCCGTCCTCCATGCCCTTGATTAAAGTTAATGAAAAATTACAACCACAAGACAGGAAGTCCTACCGATTGCCCAGACCCTTTGGAACAGGAAGTTGGGTCATCCCACCAGCAAGAAACCATGCTCAACCAAGGGGTTTGCGGAGGACTCAGTGGGCAGTAGAAGGAAATTATCAACACTAACTCCAGCCGCTGGCCAGCTGAAGAGGGGGGGACTGAATAGTCACGGGTGTCTCTTCCTTGTTTTGATGTGGCTGGCACGGTGCGCGTAGAAACTAACTCTTCTCTTTCCCCACTCCCGCAGTCTCCAACCATCCAACGTAAAAGGTGCTGACAGTAGTCAGGCTGGTGTCTCAGAACTTAAGTCAAAGGCTCTAGGAGAGAATGAATGGCACTCACTGGATGGATAAAGGGGTTCGCGTAGCCTCTTTGGGGCGGTAGGGAGCTTTCTGTCATATGAGGGGGTCACTGAATCATGTTTGGTACCAGCATGACTTTGCTCTTGTCTTGATTTGGAAATTCAGTGTGGGTGAGAGAGACATGTGTGGATGTCAAAGTGACATAAGATACATGGAGGTGGTTTCTACTCATCTTCGCCAAGTCCCGGGCCAGGTGTGTGCGCAGCTCTGGGGAGGCAGGTTCCCGCTTCTCCTGCTGGTCACCATGCCACCAGGATTGGAGGAAGCAGAGGTGGGGTCCAGTCTGTCCCTCCAGCTTCCTCCCCGACTGCCAGCCCCACCAGACTCAGCAGCAGGCGCCCTCCACAAACCTCTTCACGGTTCCCACACCTGCACGTGGTCTTGTTCCTTCCATCAACCCTTTACTCCATGACACTCGTAATGGTTCAGCTTCTCTGATAAAACCACAGCCAGCACAGGGTTCGACAAAACCATCTCAAAATCCATATGGAGCCAAGAGCAGCAAAGCCCAGAACCGAGCTGACAAGTCAACTAATCGCTGCTGCTCTTCAAGGGAGGGGCTATGTCCTCGGGCCAGCGACTGAGAGTCAACAGCAAACACGCGATTAGAGAAGTCACAGCCTGCCGTCACTCTTGCCTCCAAGGTCCCCAAACACGAGCTCCTTTCTTCCGGGCTCGGCACGATACGCGTTGCTCACCAGCCAGGGGCTGAGGAATGGGTCCACTTAAGAGGACGAGGTCCAACAGCGATGTAGAGTTTCTCAGGACTGTTGGTGGCCCCCAAAATCAGATAGTCACACTCAGTTCCTGGCCTTGACAGTAAGTCGGGTGGGGGGAGGGAGGTGGGAAGGGCCAGAGACTAATGTTTCAAATGCTAGGACACAACACTCTCACCAAAAATCAATGTTTTCTTTCCTCATTCACTGCCAGTAAAAAGGAACCCAGTGGAGCTTTGAGTTATATCAAGTCATGTAATTTTTCAGTTTTCTAATGAGTCTACTATCTCCTGAAATAGTTGATCCTGAGAAAGTACTTTTTTTTTTTTGGAGTCGGAGTCTCACTCTGTCGCCCAGGCTGGAGCGCGGTGGCACGCTAGCGGCCACTGCAGCTTCGACCTGCTAGGCTCAGGAGATCCTTCCACTTCAGCCTACCAAGTAGCTGTAACTACAGGCGCATGCCGCCACGTCCGGCTAATTTTTTGATTTATTGTACAGATACAGTCCCACCAAGTTGCCCAGGCTGGTCTCAAACCCATGGGCTCAGGCAATCCTCTCACCTTGGCCTCCCAAAGTGCTGGAATTATAGGCTTGAACCACCGCGCCCAGCCCTAAGAAAGTATTTAAATGCCTTTTTCCCAAATAGTTCTCAAAACCTAAAATCGTATAACTTTCTTCTCAGAGCCATCCCTTTTCTCATTCAGAGTGTGACAGCTACTTACTGACACTGGGTTCCATCTGTGCCAGAACTGTCCCAGGAGCTGAGGGTCTCCTAGGCAGGAAAGAGCCAGAACAGATCCCTGCACTCCAGGGTCTTCTGTACGTCCCCTCTTCACGCTCAGAAAGACACATTATGGGAGGTGTCCAGTAACCACCTCCTCCTCACAATCCAGTCGGAGCCTACTTGGCTGGAACAGCTATGCTTGTTCATCGCCAAGGAAAAGAAAGATCCCAAAACACACAGTCTCTACGTAGCAGCGAGTTTAGGTAGCATGAAGACAACTTTGGGAGGAAGGGGAACACCCCTGAGAAGACAGATGAAGTCAGAGACCACGGCAAGAAAAGCCAGTGGACTGGAAATCTCTTGATTAAAATGCACGATCACTCCTTCACTTTCCACTTACCTGTTTTTTGTTCTTTTTAAAAAAGCAAGCCAGATTCCTCAAGGTGACATATACAGAGACATTCTCCTTAAACTTCTTTATGAGACAATAGCATGGCGCCTGACATACTGAGAGGAGGCATAAAGCCAACAATTCAGAAGTAAATCCCAGGGGCAGCTCTAGAAAGGCGTTCCATGTCAGCATGTCATTCTTCATCAGAACTGGAAGCTAGGTGCTAACACAGAGGTCCTCCTGAGGGCTACCAGCATGCAACTAGCTGGAGCCAGGAGAACTGGGACTCGGACAAACACTGTCTGACAGATCCTGTGTACACACACACACATACACACACACAAAACGAGACAAAGTCTATGCTGAGATACCTACTTGTTTTGTACCCAATTATTGTCAACCCTTCAGTCAATCTTGTAGAAACTGTTCTAATCATGGCAGAATGGATGAAGGCCAAAGGAGGTGTGCTCTGATCAGAGATTAAGGGGAGGGGGCTATGGCACACACCAAGAAACCACAGAAAGCCATCTCTCTTCTGACCAACGGGGACACCCTCATTTGCTGATATCTGTCTCCACAGCTTCACTACTTTTTAGCCACAAAGAACACAATTGAAATAAGGGTACTTTCGACTTTTCAAAGCCCTTTCTGTCCGTACTACCTCTTTGGGTTCAAACGCTACTTGGCCCCAGATCTCCTTGGTGTTTTATGATGTCTCGGTTCCCCTTCATGCCCAGAAAAAGGGGCCAGGCTCTCCCAGCCCTGCCGATCAAGAGGCGAGCCTGGCCGGCAGGGCCCACCACTCACTTGATGTGATGTACTCTGGAGCTTTTCCAGGGCTCAGTGGCACGGCCTCCTCGTAATAATCTTCTGGGAGTGAGGACGTCGGTAACGGTGGAGGCCCACTGTCCGGAGGCTGGAGGGAAATTAACGGAGAAATTAGTATGGCCATCAGAAAGAAAGTCTATACTTCCAATTAACAGGCGTGGCCCAACATTTTCCTCTTCCCTTCGTAAAGATCCGCCTCATTACCAAGAGGCTCGGAAGGCAGTTCCTGGTGTCTCTCCCACTTTCCTGCTCACCCAGCCCCGGCTCTGGCTCCAGCCTCCTGCCATCCAGCCCACATCTAGCAAGTGTGCAGCTGATCCCATGGGGCCTCTGAGAGGCAGACGCCACACAGGACTGGGCTAACTTACACGGCCCTCTTGGACCCTTCCCCGGGGCCTGTGATGGCTCCTGTGCAACTGCTCATCCGCACGCACAACCCACGCAGGTCTCAGACACCACCACTTCCTCACGGCCCACGTCACAGGGGCCATGCTCCCGGGGCACCGAGCCTGGCTTTTCAGCTGCCTCTTGAAGGCCAAGTGGAGTATGGGTAGTCCTGTGGGGTGGAGCGGGCCATGACAGAGTAGGTGCCAGAGCCACACCCGTTGTGTGAAGGGGTGAGGCTGGCTACTTACTCCCTTGCCCTCTTCCTCACATGTGCCAGGAAAACTCAAAAAGGAAAGGAAAGAAAGCAAATCACCAAGCAGCCACTCTCTATGAGAAAGTGGAAATTATTCTCTGGGGAAGGAATGTGCTCCTTACTAGAACAAATCATATTACAATGCTTGACAAATTTAGAACCTGAGGTCCCTGTCTCTGGATGTAAAGCCATAAAACCTTGGAATACTGGAAGAGCTGAGGGCCCGCTCCACCCCACAGGACTACCCATACTCCACTTGGCCTTCAAGAGGCAGCTGAAAAGCCAGGCTCGGTGGCTCAGCCTGTAATCCCGTGCCTTTGGGAGGCTGAGGTGAGTGGATTGCCTGAGCCCGCGGGTTCGAGATCTGCCTGGGCAGCGAGACCTCATCTCTACAATAAATCAAAAAATCAGCTGGGCGTGGTAGCGCATGCCTGTAATTCCAGCTACTCGGAAGGCTGAGGCGGAAGGATCGCCGGAGCCCAGCAGGTTGAGGCTGCGGTGGCCGGGAGCGGCCACTGCACTCCAGTCTGGGCGAAAGCGTGAGACTCCAACTCAAAAAAAAAAAAAGAGGCAGCTGAAGCTTCCTGCTTTCCCTAAGCTTTCTGATGGCTGCGACGTTCACCACCTCTCCCTTCTACAAACAACAGCAGGAGCTGCTGGTTATGTCTCCGCGGGTCCTTTCACCAACAGAGGGGGTCGAGGGGCAGGAAGCCCGCACTGGTCAAGCACGTGCCATCTGCCTGGCAGTGAACTAGACACTTCCATATTGGCTACAGGTCACATCAATCAATCTATACAGGAAGCCTGCAGGGTACATATTAAATAACCTTACATTTCAGAGATACAGAAAACAAGGCTCAGAATCTAATACAATCAACCTGCTCAAAAGCAGGCGCTTGCAGATGACAGAGCTGGGGTTTTCAAACACCAGGTCTGTCCGCTAAAGACCCGTTTTATAGTCACTTTCTTGCTCTTCCCTTTCCTGTTAACAGCGTGCAGCTATTTCACACTATCTATATTCTGTAGACAAACTGGGAGGAGGTCATGTCACAAGGAACGGGACAGAGCAGAGGCCCCAAGTGAAGAGCTACCAAGTGAAGTCTCCAAGAAGAAGAACATTCCGATGAGATCATGGGGCTGTTTTTCTAACGTCACCTCTTTAGAACGTAAGACTCCATCACTCTCCCTCTGAATCCGAGAAGGCCTTTGTGAATGACAATCACTCACCACATATACAACCCACTCCTTCCGCTCGCCAGATGGGGAAGAGAACTCGCTCCAGATCATCTGCAGAACACTCCCTCGTGTGCTTGAAGACAGCCACTCCCTTCCACCCCCAGTCCTTGTTCCCCGGGCTGAGTGACGCCAATGCCTCTGCACTTCTAATCGGAAGGCTGGTTTCCTGGACGGGCATCATTCTGCGGTCACAGCCGGGACCATACCCAGGTCCTTCACGTCCTCCTCAAGAGGCAGTCCTTACAGCGGAACCGGACCACGGTGCTCAGTACCAGGCAAGATCTCACAAGCATCCACGTCCAGGTTAACGTCTCTGGTTGTTGCTTTTGGAAAAGAGCTGCTTAATCCACTGTCTTTTATTCGTGAAATGCAGGGTGTTCCAACTTCCTTTGTGTATGGTGAAACAGTCAAATTATTCATGTTCTGGAAAAGCGTTACAAATAGTTGAATCCAACGAATGTTTGTGAAATGGTCCAGGTCAGACTCCCTTCCTGGGTGCGGCAACTCATGCAGCGGTACGTGAGGCAGTTCTGAAGACACTTTTCAACCCTATCAGTGGCCATGTGTTTAGCACAGCCTTCTGAGATATACCCTCAGATCCAATCATTCCACTTCTAGAATTATACACCAAGAAGGTCAATTGGTCAAGTGGGAAAAATCGTGGAAGAATGCTCAATAAAAGTTAGCAAAATTTAAAAACAATCTTAACTGTTCACCAAAAAAAGAATGTTTAGATTTATGGCTATACCCATAGACAGATATTTAAAAGGACATGCATGTGTATAGTCTACATTTACTTTAAAAAACTCTATTATAAGATACTGGTGATAAAAAAAAAAAGCAGGTGTACTGTAAACCCTTTATATAAAATGTGTGTGTTTATGCTTCCATATATACAAAGACAGAAGGTTGTGCACCACAATGTGCTAACAGCTGCCTCTTTTTTATACACATCTGAAAAGCTTGGATTTTCTACATGGCATTTATTGTTTTTAAAGCCATTTAGAAAATCAAACTATTTCCACTTCTAAATAAAACCCCTCAAAAATACTACTCCTGGAAAAGCACTTCACTCTCAAACACCACTTACCCTGGAAATTCGCCCCTGGGGTTTCAGACACTTAGTGCTTAAAGGTTAAACAGGAGAGCAGCAGAGAGGCTCCCAAACTGTCACTCAGTACCACGGCTTTCAGATCCTTTCCCACTGGTAAGAGTCCACTAAAATCACAACTCAGAACTTCAAAAGGTACAGAAGGGAGGCAGGTTTTCAAAGGGGTCATGAGAAAGCAGAGGACAGGCAGGTGTGATGCCAGACCCCAAGAGACCCCAAAGGGCAGGCTCTGTGTTCAAGAGACCAAAGAAATATATCTTTTTTTTTTTTCAAGCTAGAGTCTCACTCACTCTGTCGCCCAGGCTGGAGTGCAGTGGCACAATTACGACTACCACAGTCTCGACCAGCTGGGCTAAATATATCTTTTTTTTTTTTTTTTTAGTGAGGCCAAAGGGAGAAGAGGTGGGCTTCTTTCAGGAACTCACATACTGGAAAGGTCCACGAGTGGCCAGTTGGACAGGAAAGACCACTCCTGATTGCACAAGGCACACAGGTCATACAGCATTTCACACAGGGCGGAATGCAGGGGCCAGCTTGAAAAAGATGGATTTCTAGTGTGCACACACAGTGTGAGAAGGTGTTTACCCTTACATCACACATACACAAAATGGCTGCGATTCCTCTGTAGGGATGGGATTTTCAGTATAATAATGAACTAAAGGTAACCAAATGTCATGGGCACTGATCCAGGCGTGTTCCATCTGGTCTGAACCAGCCTGGGGGGCCGGCTGCCTCAAAGGAAGGCTGTGTGAGAACCTTCACTGTGCATAGCTGCAGGATGTGGTTGGCAGGCATGGGGGACACTCGCCCATGGCCTCAGCATGACCTGTATGACATGCATGCAGGCATGGGGCCTCGGCATGACCTCAGCAGGCAATATGGCCTCAGCGTGACCTGCGTGTTCAGGCACGGAGCCTGAGGGGAGGAGGACACTCTGGGTTCGCTACCCCCAAGGACCCTCCCCAGGCTCCAGCCCCTCTGCTTGAGGCCGGATCCGGGTTGTACTCTTGCTGTCACTGACTGTGTGTTGTCCTGTAGCAGGAAATAAGCAGTACAGTGAAAACGAGGAAGACTCAACACAGCAGCATCACGCCCAGCTCCAGCTTATCCCTCAGCCTGTGACATCCTCCTAGGGCTCAGTCCCCATTCCCTTGCCTGGAAATGAGGGTGTCACATCATGACAACTTCCAGTGCACCCCAGCTCTAGGAGTCTGACTCGAGTACTCTCATAAAGTTCAGGTCCACAGACCATAAAGTCAACTTTACCTCTTTCAAAATTTCCGTGAGAGCTGACTTTGTGTCCACGCCAAAGGACACAGGACATGAGAATCTCTGGCCAGGGCAGTTTCTTACAATGTACCTTTTAACAGCAGCACAAGACCAGGCACGGTGGCTCAAGCCTGTAATCCCAGATCTTTGGAAGCCAAGGCAGGAGGACTGCTTGAGCCCAGGAGTTTGAGACCAGCCTGGGCAACCTAGCAAGACCTTGTAGCACTACAAAATAAAAATTTTAAAAATTAGCCAGGTGTGGTGGCATGCACCTGTAGTCCCAGCCACTTGGGAGACTGATGCTGGGGGATCGCCTGAGCCCAGGAGGTCAAGGCCACAGTGAGCCGTGATTGTGGTACTGCACTCCAGCCTGGGTAACAGAGTGAGGACCCAATCACCTCCCTCAAAAAAAGAACTCTATGCAGTTTGCGATGGCTCATGCCTATAATCCCAGCACTTTGAGAGGCAGAGATGAGAGGACAGTCTGAGCCCAAGCGTTCAAGACCAGCCTGGGCAAACTGGCGAGACCTCATCTCTACAATAAATCAAAAAATTTGCCAGGTGTGGTGGCACACACTTGTAGTTCCAGCTACTCGGAAGGCTGAGGTGGAAGGATTGCCTGGGCCAGCAGTCCGAGACTGCAGTAGCCATGAACTGCACTCCAGCCTGGGCGACAGGGTGAGACTTTGAAGCAAAAAACAGTAGCACCATACAACCCTGTGGATGTACCCTCAATGGACACTGCAAACTTCCCTCAATATCAGAGGAGCCCCAGCCTGTGTACACGGCCTGCATTTTTCCCAGGTGTCTCCTGAACTGCCTCTCACAGAAC